AGAATGACTAAAAACGGTGTCTGAGATAACTCTTTACGAGACATGTCTTCAAACTTTTCATACGAATCCAAGTATTGTTTCAATTGATGGAAAGGTTCGTCAAGTCTTAAGTCTTCAAATGGATTCTCGGGATGCGATTCAATGATTGTCTGCTCTTTGATCTGAAGCCGAATATAACCGACAAAACCGATTGAATTGCAGGCAATGAGAGGCACATTGTTTTGCCACAAGACTTGACACAATCTATTAAACGACTTATCGTTATTGACATTCGTTGCGATCACTAATGAGAAGTTTGCGAAGAAGTTTGGATTGGATTCGAGTAGCGATTCAAACGACTCGTCCAAATGGTCCGCTTTCTTCAGATCGTCGTTCAATTCAGACAACAATTGTGCCGCCATTTTGGCCCTACTTTTGCCCACAGAGTCTTCAGCCAATAGGAAGAAGTTGCTGCCGATGTCCTCTTCGGTGACCACATTGTTGTCGATGATAGTGACGGCACGAATGCCCGGAAGGACCAGACTCTTGAGGATCTCAGTGCCCAAAGAAGTGGCGTTTATGAGACACACGTGCGATGACTCCAAAGCCAATTGTCCGCAATCACCCCAAAGACTGGATCAATTCAAAGACACAATCAATTCAATTAGTAATTGTCACCAAACGGTGTACTCATTGTCTCAATCATTACCGCAATTGTCTGTCATATCGTTTGGTTTTCTCGCTTTCGGGAGATTTGGGGCTTTTGGGCGATTGGACTGAAGTGTCGGTGGTTTGTGTCATCACTTTCAGCGCTTCCAGCAAAAGATCAATACAACGATGGCTTCAAAAAGTAACAAAAAAGTGAAACAAATGCCGAAATGCTATTAAAAATAGTGAAAACTGTATTTTTTGCGTATGTAACACACTTAACTCGCGAGCAAAGTTTGGTATGAAAGTCACTTACGTTTGTGAAAACCGTGAATAAGACGTAACGTAAATTTTGAAACTTTATTTTAAAATTTCAATTCATTTAACATCGAAAGAGTTAATTATCCAACAGTTTATTATCCGACGCATCACGTGACTATAGTATTGGCTGTACAATTGAGGTAGAGGTAGTACCGTATGGTAGTCTACTATTGGTAGAGGGCATTCCGTCGTATAATAAACTGTTGGATAATTAACTCTTTCGATGTAATGTATTTGTGATCAAAGTATTGAATGATTGGTTGAAGTGATTAATTGACACTATTTAAAGATTACATTCTCTAATATTGCTCTAAAAATATATGTCAAAATTGTTGAGTTTTTACTATTTTTCATTTAAAAGTAATTTAAATCCATTTATGAATTATTTGTTTAATTTATTAAAATCATAAGATATAATATTGAATTTTTAAAAATCATTTCTAAATATGAGATAATTTAAATTAAAATAAATTTAAAATGTGACAAATATTTATGTCGTTATTTAGTAGTAATTTAAATATTCTTTGAGACTTGTATTTCCAAGTTTGACATTTGAGGCAATATTTTAATGAGTTCTTGTATTCCTGTTCTCAGCGATAGGTTTGATTTGAAGCCAAGTTTTGCAATCTTCTCATAGGAGACCACGTAATCGCGTTTGTCTTTGTCTTCGCCGGTGTCCGACAATTGTATGACACAATCGGGTATAAAGTCTGCGATATTGAGCGCCGCCTCGGCTTTGGAGTATAAGTATCAGAGCAGCGGCTATAATATATGTAAAGGCGCGTAAACCAGCATCAAAAATTCTGATTTGTCTTTACGAAACCGCCGCAGAGAGTGCACTTCTTTGCACGCGAATTTCACACCGACAAAGAGCACTATCTTCTTGTGGATGAGTGCGCTTTGAGTCAAATCATTGATCAAAAGATCCAAACGCATCCGCGACGAGACACCGAACAGTGTCGCCAATCTTAAGACAACTCCATTGCTCTTCAGCACAATTGTCTCGGCGTTTGCTTTAGTTTTGCCATAGAGTGTGAGCGGAGAAATATTTGTCTCTTCAGTGCAAATGCCATCAATAGCTCCATAACAAGAACCGGTCGACGCGAACACAATCTTCTGGTGCGGTCGCAGGGCTTCCACAATGTTTTGAGATGGGCAAAGCAACTGAAACTGCCGGTCAAGGCCTAAAAAGAGTGTGCGGCCCATAGGCTGTTAGCGACGGTTTACCTACTGTCGCAGGCGACAGAAGTAGCGGCTACTCTAAAGTGAAAACTAAGATATATCACTTTTTATAAGATTTAGATTTGGATTCGAGACAAATGGCAAAAGGGATGAAATGCCAAAATCGAAGCGATCGAAAACAGTTACTTTGAATCCATCGTTGAGAAGAAGGGGTACTAATGATGAGCCGATATATCCGGCGCCTCCCGTCACCAACACATGCTTACCATTGCATTCGTTCAATGCATTCGTATTTCCGTTCATTGATTTGAAGTCTATTTCAGGCATTTCTTTGAGCTCTAGAATAAGTTTAAATCAATAAATGCATAAAATATTGTCATAGTTTTAAGTATTAATATAAGCGGAAAGCGTTCACAACTGTTTTTATCCTCATTATTTGTTACAACAAATTATTTTAAAATTAATTAACATAATAACTAAATTTAAAATACTTACAAAATCTAAATAAAACTTTGTGATCAAATTAATTATAATGAACAATGCGGTGAAATTGAATGTTCACAAATCAAACAACAAGAGCGGAAATGATAGACTAAACCTCTTGAGCGACAAGAGTTGCTGGTTTTGAAAAATATTTAAGTGTTTGAAATAGCGTTTATTTAACTGTTTACAAACTGAATATGTAGTTAAAATTATTGTCTAATTGACTATTCTGAAGACTCTCTACTGGACTCAAGATCCACTTTAGAGACACAAATGATTAGAGATATAAATAAATTATTTGACTTTTCAAACATTTTATAAACAAATGTCCAGATATTATCACAAGTTATCACAAGACTTCTCCACAAAAATTATCCAATTTTAACATTTAAGCAAATATTTGATAAATAAATATTTAAGAGCATTATTTTGAAAACTTTATTGGATTATCAATAAAACAGATTTTAGGATTACATCAGATCTGAATCTATACTAAAATAAAAACAGAATTCATTAAACCATAAGAAACTAATGGCTTATTAAGTAATATTTGATCAGAAAAATTAGACTTTCGATAATTTTATTGTTAAAAAACTAAAAAACATTTTGCGAGACAACGATTGGCCAACAAATTAGTATCTGTAGTGATCAGGTTTGTAGGGGCCATCGCGTGGAATGCTTAAATATTGAGCTTGGTCTTCACTCAGTCGAGTCAACTTAACGCCCAAATGAGGCAAATGCAGAGCCGCCACCTCTTCGTCCAACTATTGGTTTATACAAACACTATTAGTATTTAAATACAAATCAAATCTATTTATAAATCTTACTTTTTTAGGCAGAATATAGACGCCGAGCGGATACTTCTCCGGATGTGTCCACAACTCTATTTGGGCCAAAGTCTGGTTAGAGAAGGAACAGCTCATAACAAAGCTCGGGTGTCCGGTAGCGCAGCCCAAGTTCACTAAACGTCCCGCAGCTAACAATATTACGTGTCGCCCATTGGCCAGAGTATAGCGATCGACCTAAACGTACACAACAACACATGCTATACATCTTTATAACACATATTTAGATCAAATGTACAATACCTGTGGCTTTATATTAATCTTCTCCTTAGCGTTGGTGTCCAACCATTTGACATCGACTTCGCAATCAAAATGTCCGATATTGCAGACAATGGCGTCTTCAGGCATTTGCAGGAAGTGTTCGCCACGAATAATATCCTTACAACCAGTGGTGGTGACAAAGACACTGGCTTTGGGCGCCGCCTCTTCCATTGTGGTCACTTCGTAGCCCTCCATCGACGCCTGAAGAGCGTTGATTGGATCGATTTCGGTGACAATAACTCGGGCGCCAAACGCTCTCAACGAGGAGGCGCTACCTTTGCCGACATCACCGAAACCGGCGACAACGCATACCTTTCCGGCCAGCATTATATCAGTCGCCCGTTTGATACCATCGGTCAGCGACTCTCGACAGCCGTAAAGATTGTCAAACTTAGACTTTGTCACCGAATCGTTCACATTAATGGCCGGTACTTTCAATTGTCCGCTTTTCAGCATTTTGTACAGATTATGGACACCAGTAGTGGTCTCTTCGGAAACGCCGCGAATTGCCGACAAGTATTGCGGATATTTCTCGTGAACCAAGTCTGCAATGAAAACCAATTGTGAAAAACTTCAATAATTGCAACAAATAAGTGGTTGACTCACTGGTGAGGTCTCCGCCGTCATCGAGAATCATATTAAGCGGTTGTCCGTCTTTGAAGACCAGTGTCTGTTGAATACACCAAATGTATTCCTCTTCGGTCTCTCCCTTCCAGGCATAGACGGGAACACCGGTGACAGCGATGGCGGCCGCGGCGTGATCTTGAGTGGAGTAGATGTTACAACTAGACCACTGCACTTCGGCGCCCAATTCAGTCAATGTCTCGATCAATACCGCCGTCTGAATAGTCATATGAAGACAACCAGCAATTCGGGCGCCTTTTAGCGGCTTTTTGGGGCCGTATTTCTGGCGGATAGACATGAGTCCCGGCATCTCGTGTTCGGCCATCACTATCTCCTTTCGGCCGAAATCGGCTAAACTTTCGTCGGCTTTCGTTATGGAAATTCAATGCATTCATTAGTTTTCATAATTAACTTCAAAATATACAACAAAAAAAAAGTTCTCAAAACTTATATTCATTGCTTGTTAGCAAAAACTCGATGATTATTCAATATTAAAATTCATGTCTTAACACAAATAAATTTGAAATAACGTTAACGACAAACAAAAATTAGTTTTTTTAAATGAATTGCAAATATATTGTGTTTTTATAAAACCAATAAAATGTCGTTTAAATCATAAGATAAAAGTTAAATACACCTAATTAAATGATTATAAAGCGTTAAACAAATCAAAATATGTATAAATCATAAGTTATTTAAACCATTAAAATTATACAAAAAATCTTTCAACAAATTTACAGACAATTAAAAGTTAGAAAAAACTTTCTTCGCGTCAAAAGTTTTGTCTCAAAATGAAGAGAAATATACGCGAAAACATGCATTGATTAAGGATTGCATTGAAATATATTTACCGATTTTATAGTTGGGTTTCTGAGCACTCATTATTAAGTTTTCAATTTTCAGACTTTAAATCTTATAAATGAAAATAAAAGCTTTCAATTGAAGTGTGACTTAACGTTAACAGTGTTTTAAGAACCGAGAGTTATATAACAGTCAATGTTTAGTGTTATATAAGAGTGAATCAAATGAGAGAGAGATTCAAAGAGAAAGACTGTCGCATAAAACACACGGTTTTATACAAAAATATTGTGCTATTGGGTTGCTATGGGTTACCCCTCACACGGCTGTACACTTTCACACACCCTATGGTTACTGACATCTATTGACCGATAGATATCTCACCATATATTCTGTGATCAGGTCTGCGAAGAATATGGTCTGAGTTTGGATTAAAGCATAGATTCTTTGTTTAGTAGTTATGAAAGGATAGCGAGAGTTAAGAGAAGAGTAATAGTGACGGACACTGACTTGTTTTAAGCATCCCATGTATTAATGCAAACATAGAGATAAGAAACCTGAAATCAGACTACAGTAATCAAACACTGTTTCCTCATTTTTACGAACACTTTTAGCGCACATTATGTTGAAATCAATGCTAAAATCACCTGTTTTTACGTAAGACAGTCAAAAGTACAGTGTATCTGATTTCTGTTATGAATTATCATTAAATTTATAGTAATATTAATTACAAATAAATAATTTTTGGTCATATTTGAGTTGGTCATATAGATCAAATCTAATTTTTATACACTGGAACCGTTTTGTTGATAACATAGATGTTTGACTGTAAACATATTTCTGGTTCTACTTTAGTAGTGTACATAAAAACGAGGTAATTGTGTGCTTTATATAATTGTCGGCATTCAAATCATATCGCAATCTTACGAATAATATATTCAAGGCTTATGTCTGAAGGACTATACAGTCGTAACTTTGAGTTTACTCTACTGTCAGACACTTTTTTTTATAGAGTATACCACTTATTGAGGAATATTTCAATTCTACACTATACATGTATTATTGAGAAATAGTTGCTTAATGTTATAATTAATATTTAAAATACATTCAATGATACGGTTCTGAATATAAAATACTACTGAATGTGTGATGAGAGGAATCGGTATCTATTATTGACATTAACTTATGTTAATAAAATGAATTTTAATTGTAAACACCTAGTTTTATTTTACTAATCATATCTGTGATGAAGAGAGAGAAAGAAAGAAAGAAAGAAAGAGAGAGAGAGAGAGAGAGAGAGAGAGAGAGAGAGCACACAAAAGCTGAGAGAGATGTTAATAATAAATGTCATATTCACATTATATTAAAAAACAAATTAATATCATTGATACGAATGCTGTGATATATAATACAACATTTCAATTCAATTGTCCTGGGTATTAATTGGTATGTGGAATATTAATGCGGCAATTAAATGGCACAATTGTACAATCGCTGCATAATAAATAATCCAGCATAATTTAATATGGCCATTATATTGGATAATAAACTATATAAGCTTACACGAGTTAGTGTATGTCAGTAGTAATATAGTCATCAGTAGTTTTTGGATAAAATTTATTTTAATAAGTGCTGTTGGAGTTTATAAATAAGTGCCGCCACCGCTCACCACAGCTGGTGGTAATTGTTATTAACCCTATGAAAAGACCAATTATATTGTACCCACACATTCACGCCCACCCCTCCAACACATCACACTCTCTGCACATCACTTGTATTGTAATACAGAGGTGGGGAGAGAGAGAGAGAGCTTCAACAAAGAGGAGAGAGTAAGGACTAAAATATATTATTACATAAGAAATAAAGCATTTTGAGAGCACTTTCTAGTGAACAACACAAATAAAAATTGCATTTTTCACTCCACTAATGATGTAATTGAGAAGTGGCTCCCAATTCTCTCTCTCTCTCTCTCTCTCTCTCTCTCTCTCTCTCTCACTCACTCACTCTCTCCCATCTCTCATAACTCTACGCTCAACCGTATATTTAAATGAAAAACTTAATAAGACATAGATATGGATACACTGCCAGAGTATGTAATTTATATGTGATCTCTGTGTGACTATATGCCAGAATATATATGAATATATAGTGAATGCATATATAAATATTCCGGTCGTGTTATATAGCAATAATATGTTGTGTTTTTCTGTGAATGGCATACAAAACAGTAGCAAAAAAAGAAATATAAGGATCATTAAAAAATTTGCAGCGCTTGTAGTTTTGCTCAATACATAAAGCATATTATATATAAACTTAATACGTGTTGTACTCCATTGGCTCACGTATTGCCTGAGCAAAAAGCACTTGTACTCTGCCATAGAGAGAGAAGGGGACTGTAGACACAGATTACATAATGTAAGAATGCATCAAAAATCAATGTATTTCCAGTTGATAATAATTTTCATATAAATTTTGCCGACACTTATTATATATGAGTTTCTGATGAATAAAGAATATATTAAAAAATTTTTGTTAAAATTTATTTCGTTAAAAATTTCATTTTAGATGCTTTTAATATTTATTTTTACATTTTTGCTTCTATTTGATATGGTGATAAAAATGAGCAAGATGCAACTAGAATAAATGTTTAATTATTACCAGTAAATATAAACAAAAAATATAACTGCAAACTAAAAGCTAACCTACATTCAAATATATTTAAATAAAGTTATCAGTTAAGTAATACGATATGGATAATTGGTATAGTATTATTAAAATGATACGTTTAATTAAATATGGCGAAGATGACCTTGCACATATCACCCCTCATTCGAGCCAATGAATGGCATAATAAACAAAATCCTTTGGCAAATTTTCAAATTATATGCATATTTCTCATTAGATTATGGGTTTTGCGCTCATATTTCTCGAGAAGAAGCATAAAGAAGAAGAAAATGGGAAAAAAGTTATTATTATTTTTTGCCACTTTTTATATGCGTTTTGCCTGCGAATAGACTGCGATAGAGATGTGTGAGAATATATGCAGAATATTCTGTATTAGAATATAACGTATAAAAGTGTAAATATTGTGTATTAGAAAAAATGCTGAATATTTTATTATTGATTGTAAAGCACTACTAGTGTTACGACTGAATACTGAATATTATATTATACATCAAAAGACTGAGAGAGACTTATAGATAAATTTTGTTGCTTTTGATATTTTCATTTCGGAATTGCACTCATCATAGAGAGAGAGAGAGAGAGAGAGAGAGAGAGAGAGAGAGATCGACAATAAAATTTGAGTCAAAATATTTTTAAAACATGTTATTATTTATGCAATATTTATCATACGTTTAAAAATGTATCAAAAGTAAAGTCTTTATATTCAAGTCTAGAGAATATACAATATTTAGTGACTATTTGTATAAATCTATTTGTCATTCAAATGCGAATCAAAAAGAGTATATATTTTGCGAAAATTTTCAATCAAATAATATATTGTATGCAAAATAGTATTTATTTTTATATAAAAATAAAACATCAAAGAATATATACATAACGTATATACTGATAGTACAGAATATATTGGTCGGCGCTATTGGGCGCCAAACAACACAACAAAAACTATATATAGTTTATATTAAAATAAATTTATATTCAGATTTGTCGGCAGATTTTTGTGAACACAGTTAGAGAGAGAGAGAGAGAGAG